CGATGTATGAACTCCTGGGACAAACCTCAAACGAGGAATCCTTGGGAGACGTCGTCGAGATGGTATTGGGGTTCTTTGAGGTGATGTCGTACTTTCAGCACGAACTGCCACTGTGGAAGGATGTGTGGAAGATCAAGAGGGAGTTCGAGCAGTCAATCGTACGACACCTCGCCGGGAACGTGACCCACACGACGGGCCAGAACCGAAAGCGGAACAAACCTTCCGCACAACTCGGGGCGCCCACGAAAGAAGTGCTGGACATCATGAACAAGGCTAAGCCCAGACACCCGCGATCCCTGATAACCGAGCCTGCTGCCCAAGGGTCCAAGAGAAAGGCAACGGAGGGCGAAGGTGACGGTCTTGGTCAAGCACCAGACCCGAGCCGAAGCTCTCAGCCCAACGCTGAGAAGGAAGAAAAGAAGCAGCGAGTGATCGACGGGCGGAGAGCGGCACTAGGATTCCTGGAGTCAATGGAGAAAGTGCATGGGAGAAATGGGAATCTGCAAGAAGTGCGCGAACCTGGCCCACGACGGCGACTGCAAAGACATCGAGGAGGCTGCTGGGAACGAGAAAGCGATGAAGATGCTCCGTAAGCTACTCAGCAGTGATCCCGTGTCATCGGATGAAGATATGGGGGATACGGAGGAACCGCCCTCATCAACGTCCAAAGAAAGAAAGAGAGGAGGACAAGCAGGGAAAGAAACAATTGAGATGTATAGCTATACCATCAACTTGGTGGAGATGGCTGACACGGCTGAGGGAGGAGAGCTACAATGTGGTGGCGTGGACCTCACCTACAACCCGTGCGGGGACAACAGGACATTCAAGAAGACGCTTGAGATGGGATGCGACACCATCCCGTGCTACATCCCGAAGTATGGCGACGTGAGTGATGTGCACTTGCCATGGGCGTATGCGTCCATCGTTGACCCCAAATACTTTCCCAAAGGTGCCATCCTTGAGCAGGTGGACGTGATGCAGCTTGGCAAGAGTGTCAATTTCTGCGTTGCTCCTTTTGACGGTGCTCCACTATGCAGGATTGGCGATGATCGCTCGGTATTTGCTACGAAAGACCAAGCAAACCAGCTATCTCACGACCTATGCAGAGTCCTTCGACACAAGATCGGCAGCTGCCGAGGAAGTGCTTTCAGGTGCGACGAAGGTGGATGGGTCGACATTGATGCAGTCATTGACGACCGGAACAACGACATATTCCCACCAGGCACCTCGAGAGCGAAGCGATACATGGGCATCATGGAGGTGATCAAGTGGCAGGAATCTGGAAGCAAGAAATCGAGATTTCAGGTCCTGGCAGCAAGGTTTCCAAGCATCATGAACCCGAACGACACCAGGGCGGCCAGGGAGGAAATGACCAAAGCTGGCATGGATCGGGACGACATCGACAGGATGTTCAACAGATGCGATGGATGGTACAGACCTTGGTGCATCCGAGTCACAACTGGTCACAGTGATTTTGGATTCATGAGCTCATCCGCACTGGCAAATAGGTATTCCGCAAGGATGGGTGATTCTCTCGGAGGAGCATTCCATGTGACGTATGTGGAAAATCTGCCAAGCATCGTACGCTGTGGGTTAGTCCCCGGCGGAATCGATGGCGGTAACAGGCTAGCACTGCACTTCGGAGCGTTCGCTCCATGGGATGAGATGAACGTGGCAACGAAGGTGACGCTGCGGAACGTAAGGAAGGGGGACCCGATTGCGATCATCTACATTCCCAGTGCAACCCTCGCGCGGTATGGAGCTGGAGTCGCGGCAAATGGGACTTTCATGGTCTTTGACGTGATCCCGTTCTATGAGGTCAAGTCCATTTGGATTGGCAAAAGCAACGGAGGGAAACGCCTGGAGTACGTTGATGTCAAGAGAGCGTACTCGAAGTGTGTGGAGAACGAGATCTGCCCTGGCTTCGTCAACTCATCCCAAGAGTCGGCTGCGATGTTCCTCCAGAACGTCACAAAGATCAGCGAGAGGATGCCCGAGACCGAGACAGGTGCCGATAATCTGCACTACATCAGGGACATGGTTGATCGTGCATGCGAACTCTATCGGAACAACAAGATGGAGGAGTTCAACGCGCAGGTCAACGAGGTCAGGGACGAAATCAGCAAAGTCGTCATCCTGAATGATGAGACATGGGAAGGACTGAGATGCCGGATATGTCCATCGTGTGCGACCGCGATCCCCACCTGCTTCTGCTTATGCCTGGAATGTGAGGCGCAACTGATCTCCACCGGGAGGTACTACATCCACGTCAACTCCGACGATGAGGAGGACAATCAAAACCCCAACGTCTCGGGAGATGCCAAGCGCGCACAGGAAGAAGCCAACCACGATGCGGCGGCACAGGAGGATGATGACGAAGCGGAGGAAGTTCCGGGAGAAGAAGACGACATGGACACGCAAGGATATACATCCGGATATGCGTCAGAAGAGGATGACAGCGGTTGGTATTACCGCGACACTGATCTGACGTCACGGGATATCATAAACTCCCAGCGGATGGCGATCTGCCTTGACGAGCCGCGTGAGGCTCAGTACATGGCAGGGTTTATCGCACTCCAGATGTCCAAGATGTGGGGGATGTTCGAGGGTGGTGAGGAGAGAACGATGAATGCCCAACTCGAGGGGAGACCGGGCTGCCCTTACCACAATGACTTCAAGAGATACCCCAACATGACTGAGCACGATCAGGAAGGTATACTTTTGCCATCAACAACAACGAAGATTTCTCAATCGGAGAATGTTCGGACAAGAGCCTTCCGATCGGTTGAGGAGCGTGACGAATATATTCGTATGATGGTGTGCAAATGCGAGGGACTATACACATTCTACAAGCTGTGGATTGCAGCGAGAATCCTCGATGTCACCAAGGACGAAATGAAGCTCCTGGTCAAGGACCGAGTGCACCCGGTGGGTGATATTATTTTCAGATGCTTTGCACTGGCTTTCAACTGTAAGTATATATCATTCGTGAGGGATGGCCTGAACCTTGGCAAATATGGTTACGCGGTCAACGTGAGCGCCATCATCTCGGCCGTCGACCCGAACAAGTGTGACACACCTCTGCTGGATTGGTGCCTTCGGAAAGGGCACTGGCTACCAGAGGATTACAGCAAGAAGTGTGTCCGGGCACGAGAAGCCCAGAAGAACTTGGACGAGGAGTTCCGTCGACGCACTCACAGACTGTCCATTGGGGACAGGTATGCGTAGTGAAGATGCTGATTGCGGCACGATGTGGGTTAGTCCCCATCTGTTGCTTGCGTCTCATCAACACCATTGCGATGGAACGACTTTACATCATGATATGATTTCATGTATCCAAGTTGAATGGATGTGTACATGGTTACATATTCCGACGACTATGACATTCTGGATATTCATGGATGGGACTATTACCTAATGGATGATTTCCTTTTCATTATTTATACATTGACCATGGTATCTGGATTGGCTATGATTTGCATTGATTGCTCACCGATATTTCTTTGCCGGAGATATGCAGATTGCTTACGAGCAGGCGCCTCTGTTGGACTCTTATGGCCAACCCATTTTCTATGGATGACGGCTGCGCGATGCGCAAATGCGGCAGCTGGGATGTTCACTGGTGGTCAAATGACGTGACGATTGTGTATTGTATACACCTGCATATGGGAGTGCGCTTCGATTGGTGGATGAATGTTTCACTTTTCATACAATCGAACCCGGCATGTTTCACAACGAATGAACGGTGTAGCGATAGCAAGTAAAAGAATGCACGACACGATTTCGTAGCTGAAGCCGTGGCCAGTGGAACGTTTTGTGGTGTTTGGACCGCATGATGAACAATGCGACCCAAATGGGGGATGTTAAAACCCTCTAGGCCCCGTGCCTAAATTGGGAAGCTGTTCTGAGGTCTGTGTTGGTGTTGCTTTCCAAGTTCCATTGATCGCCATTTGGCTCAAGACACAATTGAGGTTCAAGATCTGATGTGTAGCTGCATTCATACGTGATCGGCATTGAGAGCGGAAAACACTTCGCTTGCGCTGCATTTGTCAGGACCACTGTTGTAACTATCATTCCTTCCCCCTTACAACGTTTACACGGGTTCGGCTATAACGGCATCGTCCGTATACACCTTTCCACGTGGTTGGTATTACAGCTGGAGGGTTCGTTGCATAGCGTCCCACGGGACGTCACCTTGCCGTCTCTTGACAGGGGAGATTCCCGAAAGTACTGAAGTGGTGGGATGATCTGCGAGTGATCCCACCCCGAGTCCATTTGTGTTTTTGCCACCAAACGTTAAGTCCGAAACGGAACTCAAGCGAGACAGACCTCAAGACCTTTTGCTTCTATTCCCTTCTGCAGAAGCCATGTCTTGACGTGGTTGGAGGAACCTCGAATCAACCACAACCCCCTGCTTCCGAGGTCTTCTCGACCATGGCTCGTTTGCGCGTCTTTCTTTCTGAGGTCGCCTGTTTGGGGCTGGGGTGGTGTTTTTCCAACAAACAAAACGAACAGGACGCCCTTTTCGATGGGGTGGGCAAAGCTTCTTTTCAGGAAACCAACACTCAGGAAACTGCGATCCGGTTTTGGAAAAGAACCATGCTTGAAAAGAATGGTTGGAAGGAATCAACCCCGACACGCATCACCTTTCCATGGCTCCTTTCAGGCACGTTCCCCAAATGATGTCGCCATCTGGTTGGGAACGCCAAAACAGTGGTTTCCCGAAAGAGCGGACAAGGAACCAAGCCTTAGCATGAGATACTCCCAGACTTTCCTCAATCCTGTTGCTTGTGGCTCGAGCTTCTCCTGGACCCCTAGAACCACCCCTTCCGAGGCTACTCCGATGGATAGGAACCACTCTGCTTCCAGAAGCACAACAGTTAAACAAGAAAAACAAACAAAAAAAACAGGCGGCACCAGCAAAAACTCAAGAACAGTTCCCTTGGAGAAAAAAGCAAACAACAACTAGAATAATGCCTAGAACAACCCCTGCTTCCGAGGCTACTGCTTTGCGCCTTCTTGGACGACATCCGCGCGCTGGAGCGCTTCTCACGGCTGGGGCTGCTGGCGGGCCAGTGCTTCGTGGCGCTGCTGGCGGCACTGACGGCGCCCAGCTGGCGGCTGCTGCCAGGATGCGGAAAACCCGAAGAAGCGACGGAAGGTCCACTTAGAAAAGTTTAGGTTGCATTAAAAACTCGTAGGGGTTGATTCCCCATTCTTTTCAAGCATCGTACTTATAGTATAGTTCTTGGTGGCTCCCATCCGGTTCCTTAGCTTAGAAGCTTCAAAGCGTTTAGTGGTAGTTTCAATCTTTCAGCGGGGGATCTGAGGGCAGTCCAAGAGTTTTAGATACCAAGAGTCGCCTTGCTTTTTTGTGTCCGAGTGCAGCTCACTTGGGGCATATATTTGAGAAACCTGGAAAATGGCCTTGGAACACTTGTGCATGTTTGCTTTTTTCGGGAAGCTTTTCAGGTTGGCTTCAAGGGAAACCAACATGAAAGACCCAACAAGTACATAAAAGCCTCCAAAAGGATGGCGAAATGCTGTGGCGGAAAAAAAAAAAAAAAACGACCAAAGGGATGTGCTGGCGGCGAAACACACTCAACAGGAGCAAGCACGGTCAACAAACTCCAAGCAAACAACAAGGCCGGGTTTACATTTCGTTTCATTTGAGACATCTTTGTCCTTGAGCAAATGCCAGAGAATCAGCAGCATCCAAGCGCCCCCTTTCCTAACCCCCCCCTTGCAAACTCAGAGTGTGATTCTCGCGGAAAACTCCGAGCAGGCAAAAGATGACCAAATGGTTAACCCATAGATGAGTCGGAGAGTTCAGTCCAGTGAGGGAGCTGACTTTTTTGCTGGAATGCCCAACTTGTGCAAGAAAAGGAGTCGGCAAAGGACCCACATTTTTTGATTTCTGCTAAAGCTTGAGACCTTGTTCTAGTTTCCAGGGCCTCATATGCGCAGACCTCCAATGTTACCCCTTCTTCTGACATCTTCTGACCCTGTTTGTGGATGGAGGGCTTCTTTCAACATCAGTTTTGACAACCTCCACGGCCACCGGGGATCTTCGCATTTCCCGTCCAGGATATGTGTCGTCCCAGCCGTTTCTGCGCTTGAGCTCCTTTCCCGTCGCCATCGGCGTGGCCGCGTTTTGCAACGAGGGCATGGTGGTGATGTCGCCCTCGGTGAGCGCGTCCATGGTTGAGCCGGAACGCTTCACCGCAGCAGTGACTTTAGCGATTACCTACTTCACGGCCAACTACTTGTTGCTGCTCCTTGCCCAAAGCTGGGTTTGAGGAACAGGCTAAATTATGAAAGTTGGCAGCGGTTCTTGTTTCTTGTTGGTGGAAAGCATGGAGGTATGGCCAACCAAAAATGGCCATGTGCCATCCGAAACCTCTCCAACACTGGTGCTGTTTGTCGTGGTTTGTTTATTCGCCCAGGCAGGCAACCATAAGGGATCATGTTTGTGCTAGTTGTCCCAGTCCTTTCTACTGTGGACGGACAAAACCCTGCACCAGTTGGCAAGCTTCATGGCTACATCCATCCTGGATGATGTCAGTTTCCATCTACAGTGCCAAGAGCAGTGAATTTTGAAGTGAACCTTCCCAGTGAGCATCCAAGCATGAAACACTATTACAGTAATGTCGACCCTGGATGAATATGTCCTACTACAGGGGGGGTGTCATCCACAAAAATGATCCGGATTTTTCGGAAGGGGACACCCGCCTGTGAACCAACCAGGTGTGTAGCGATCCGGGACCAAGCTTCATGCCAACTTCGGATGGATCCAGAGGATCCTACTCAGAAAAACCACCTGGAACAGTTCATGTTCCTACTACAGGGGCTTGAGAACCCCCCTGATTGGCACGGTCCAACCCTTAAAATCCGAAGTTCTGATTACACCCAGGTCCTTTCATCAGCAAGCTGTGGGAACACTCCCTGGACGGAGCGCTTAAACTTGACTGCTATTGGGTTGGATCTTTAGACAATAAAACTTTTTGGTTGAAATCAAGGGGTTTTCACTAAACCCACAAAAAGTAAAAAACTTGTTGCAGAGGGGTCAACAGCAACCAAGTAAACTTCCCCACATCTAGCTCCCCTTTTTGTTTTTTGCTTTTTTGAGGTCCCCTTTGTTTTCCACTAAGCAAACAAATTCTTTTGCTGGGGTCCTGGTTCCAGCCAAAGTGCTTCCTTTGAGGTCCTTCTGCGGCGACTTCCTGTACTCCTACGTGGCCGGCGACGTCGTGGCCCAAGAGGTGACTTTGTCGAAGGCCTTTTCGGTGACGCCGATCCACAGCGCGGCGGTGGTGATCTACGTGCTTCAGCTGCTCCTGACGTGTCTTTGATGCAATTTGCTTGGATGTTAGGACTTAACGTTTTGCCCATCTAAAAGTTAAACTTTGAGCAGGGGAACCAAGGTTTCTGAGGTGCTGAAGTTTCGTATTTCCGTCCTCCCACGGCATATGGAAGCTCTCGTTTTTGAGGGAGCTGACTAGTTCCCTTTCACTGGGGGTAGGATCGGAGGTGGTCCTTGGTTTGCTGGCCTGTGGTGTCATCCCTCTCTTCAAAGGAAACAACCAATGTGCTTCCTTCGGCGGCCGATTTTCTGAAAAGACGAGCCCCTGCAACTCGTATTTTCTTGGGGGGACCGTCTCACTTCCCGAGTTCGTGGACTTGAGTCACATGTTGGGCTTGGACTTTTTTGACTGTGGGTCAAGAAACAGGTACCCAAAATAGGTTGCCCTGGCACATGGAAACATGGACATTCAAACCTGCGGTCCATATCCTGGTGGTGACTAATTTTGACCCATACGCTTTTCGGTGGTAAACAGCAAGCTCGGCGACTTTTTTTTGGCCTTTGGCCACTCAGGAAGTTGACCCCCTGGTTGGGTGGTGTGGAAAAGCCAAAAGGACCTCAGACCGGCGCCGTTTCAAGAGAAACCCCCCCAAAAAGATCAAAAAGACGGATGGGTGTGGCTCAAAATGAAACAGGGGCAAACTGCAGGTTTGGGTCCATGTTGCCACTTACCAGGGTTCCACTTTGGGTACCTATTTTTGACCCACAGCCAGATGTCTTTCTTTTCCAGCAAGCTTCGGGGTCTTTGCCCAATGGTAGGCAGGGCTCCGGAGGGTCCAGGGCCTGGGGCCTCGCTGTTTTTGGAATGTCTGGGTGCTCAGCAGCTTGTATGGGGTCTCCTGCAAAAGGATCACGTGTTTTAGGCTTAAACGTCATGTTCTGGCTACCCCAGGGAGTTTGGCTTACCCCGGTAAGGAAGCCAACAGGGGATTGGGATGGGCAGTTGTCGTATTTGCCCCAAAACCCTCAATGTAGCAACAGGTTCAGGAGGGGATTGGAACCTTCTTTACCAAAGCACACATGTTTTTCCCCGACCCTTCTTGGGCTCGAGGTTTCCATCCGGCCTCTTCATGATGTTTCGCAACGCGGAGAAGCTGTGCGCGAGCCGCGCTTCTTGGCAGCGGCGGGCCCGGCGCGTCGTGCTGATCCTGTCCTTCTGCGGGGTGGCCATGATCTTGCCGCGCTTCGCGGACTTTCTGGCGGTGGCCGGGGCGGTGGGGAATTCAATGTGTCTCTGTCCTCCAGGGGTTTGCCGCTCTGTTTTTTTTTTTTTTAAATTCGGGGTCCCCCAGCTAGGTGCCCCTGTACACGCTACCAAACTAGACTACAGAACAAATGGTACCCTTTTTGTCTTTTCTTTTCTTCGCTTCTTTTTGTTTTGTTGGGGAGGAGCAACTTATTCCCAAAAATCAGAGCGCCCTGTTTCTCCCATTGGCACTGGGGATTTGGGGGGTTGGCCGGCCGCAACAAGCCAATCGCCAACTCATGGGCCTTGGTTTGTTTTGTCTTCCCTCAAAATCACTCCGAAAGGGCCGCTGGATTGTTGCACTTTGCTTCCAGGAAGCTGCCACTTGAGTTTCCTAAAGGGAAATTGACGGACCTCTGACTCTGACTGACTGACCTACCCTCCCAACACACGGAATCTGAAGAAGGTTCCCTGTTATGGGAAAATCACCCGGTCCTTTTCAGGTTCCATGTTTGTTTTTTTGGGAGGGGCGACAAGTGGATCGGGAGGCACATTCAAAATGGCATGCATAAGTGATGGGTGCAAAAGTCATAGCCGAGTGACCCCAAAAAAGCACCTCCTGGACCTTTTGGAGGATATGGAGGATGAATTTGCCACAGAACCACCAAAGTGAGATCCCTTTTCGTTTGCAGCCCTAGTTCCACGCGCTTGAGAGCCAGTTGACGCGTTTGAGGTGCGTCTTCATCCTTCCTCACCTTGCCTTCCTGAACCAGTGCCGCAAGGGCTTCTTGAGCGCAAGTGCCTGTCGCATTCCATATTCCTGGCTGGTGGTGCTCATTTTCGGCGTGTGCTGTGGCGTTTGGGCCTCTGTGGTCTCCTTGCAGCAGCTTCTGTGATACAAGGAACGGGTTGAATGGGACTTGTAGGGAATGGCTTGGGGTGGGGTTGATGGTGTTACCGTTTTCGGTTTACCTATGCTCTCCCCCGAGAAATCGTATGGTTGTGAAGCCTCCCTTGCTGTTCGAGCCTTTCTGTTGTTCGCTTTGTCTCATGTGGCTTTGGGCCTGCTTTGTGGTGATGGCATAGAGCGAATATATGTCAGAAGCTGAGGATAAGCAAAAAATCGCAAGGCCGTCAGAAGGGCCAATTAGGCCGTGGAACCCTTGGTTATCGATGTTCACGGGGCTCTCGGATAAAACCCCCTCCATTGACCCTAAGATTCTCGGATCATGGGATAGGAACGTGAAGGGAGTCACCGACTCGCAGCCTCAAGTCCGCCAGCCAGTGAGTCGAGGCGAGCCCTCGTTGCTCCAGGGCAAGGCTTTGGTGTACGGCTTCTGTGGAGTTACCCCTGCTCTGGATTTTGAGAGCAAGTCCCCGAAAATAGTGTACCCCAGATTTCGGTGTATGGTTTAGAGTACTCAGAAAAAGCGCTCAAGGGCGGAACTTCAGGAAGCTATGCGCGAATCCAAATTCTCTTTCGGCTTGACGGCCACTTAACTTTGTTTAAAATTATCAGAGCATTCCCCGGTCCATCCCGATTGGGGTGTGGGGCGGAATAGGCGGCTTTCACCGGCCAATGTATAGACCGGCCGCAAGCTGCAACTAGGTCCCCCAGCTAGGTGCCCTTTCTCACCCCTTTTTTGGGGGGAGGGTTCCCCTACTAAACTAGACTACAGAAAAAAGGCTACCTTTATTCTACCCTCCCTCCTGGAGGACCTAGGCAAGTTTTAGCGATCACGCTGGCCCGTGCCGCGTATGATTTTGCCCCAGAAACGCCGATTTGCTCAGTGGCACCCTCGAAATCCCGTTTTCCTTGGGCGGGCTTGGCTCTGGCCCACGCAAGTCTGGACCCACCCCAAAACGGTTCCCTTATCCAGCCTTCCTCCAGCAAACATGGCACTCGTGGGTACCTGGAAGATCAGTTTCCTCTTAAAAGGACCTTGCTGTGAGATGCTATGGTGGGAGGTCATGTATTTGCTGGGTGCCTGGGGACTGGGGACCCAAAGATGGAGTTGACGGAATCGATCCGACATTTCTGGTCCTGCCGGGGTCACTGGGCAATTGGGCAGACGGCGCAAATTCAGGGGAGCGTAGGGAATCCCTGATCTCACTTGCCCAAAGCGAATCGGCCTCTACCTTTTGTAAGGTTCGAAAGATGACCGCCTTCATTTGCATTTGGGCAAGGAGGTTACTTCCAATTTATGGATGCAAGTTGTGCGAGAGATGCTTGACGCCAGGGCGAACAAAAACCGACCATGCGGGCTTCGAACAGACAGGGACAGGTCTTGGAAGTGTCCGGCTTGCTTCTCAAAGGCCGCCATTCAAAGAGCTGCGGAAGAACCTGTATTCAGGACACCCTGAATTCTTGGTCTGAATTTGATTTGAACCCCTGACTCTTGTAGAGGGCTAAATGGGAAACCACTCCCTAAAACCAATTAGATGGAAGCTGATACATTGCTTGATTCTTCTTAGAGGAGCCAACTGGAAATTGGTTTGTTTAGCTTGTCCAGTTGACCGGCACGCGAGCTTTGTCGACCCTTGATGATTACCCTCCCCCCCCCCTCACGGCAAGTACCTATGGCGGCCCCTTGGAAGAAGGACTCCCCTTCTAGGTCCTTCCCCATTCTTTCCAGGGATCCTTCTTTCTAGAAAACTTCCGGAATCCCAGGGAAAAGAGCTGGTTTTTTGCAAAGAAGGATGGTTGAAAAGAATGGGGAATCAACCCCTAGACCCCTTCAGACTCGGCTGGGGGTGTCAGGAGTCGACATTTAACTTTGCAGGGACAACAACTTGAAAGTGGCAGGAGCAAGTTTGAATTGTGGTAAGCCTCACAAAGACGCCTGCCCCACTTAGTGAGATGGGATCCACTGGACTTAGGAACCAGAGCTATGACCTGGCCTACGTAGCTTCCTTCCAGAATCCCACCCGTTGGGAGGGAGCTCCATGACAAACATTGCCAGACCAAAGGTTTACCTTTTCAACTTCTAGTCCTTTCTTGGTTTTCCCTCATTCCCCCCTTCAACTGTCAAAAAACCTGCCGCAGGGAAAAATATACCAGAAAAACCTTAAGCTTTTGCCAGGTACTTGGCCAACATTTTCCTTGTAACAAGTCCTGGTTCGCTGGTTTTCCTTTAGCATGCCCGCAAAAAACTGTTTTTGGCGGGTATTAGGCCAATTTTCCTGGCAACAACTCCTGGCTTGTCTAGTTTTCTACGCCAAAAGCGTCCTCACTTGCAGCCCATTTGCAGCCCATGGGCTCCAAAGATCCCATGGCGCGGCTTCTGCAGCCCTCGGGCCATGGCCCCGAGCCGAGCGCGGAGCCGGGCGAGCTGAGCGCTCTGGGCGCCGCCCTGGTCATTGCCAAGGCGCCGGAGGGCTGAGTCGAGCCGTCCGGGTCCTTAGGTCCCCCGTGGGAGGGTTTCACAAAGAAATCAGCTATGGGGAATCATCCTTCCAGGGTCTCTGGTGGTTCTCTTGGGATAGAGACTAGGTCCCCCAGCAATTGGTGCCCTTTCACACCGTAACTTTTTTGGTTGGGAGGGTTCCCCTACTAAAATAGACAGACAAAAAGTTGGTACCCTTAGTCTAACCTCTCTACTGGAGGACCTAGTTTCGGTTTTTGGATTGTTCACCAGGCCTCCGCCCGCCGAGCGAGGCAGAGCGGCGGCGGAGTTTTGCGGTTTAGTGCTTGGAGTGAACCAAGAAGCTTGGTGGTTGTTTAGTGGTTAGTGTTTGTTTTTTGCTGTTTAGTGGTTGTTTACTAACAGTTAGTGACTTGTCGTGCGGGATCAGGAAACGGGCAGCCCAGCTGGAAATCGCAAAAGTGGTGCCATGGGCAATGGGCACGAGACATGATTTTGGCGCAAAGCCAAAAGGGATGGTTCCCAAAAAATCAAGGTATAAATGGGGCGTGCCTCAAACAAGTTCTTTTCCTTTGGTTTCCCCTTGCGCCAGTGTCAGTGTGCCAACCCCATCTGTTTTGGCCTTGCGTTTGAGACATCTGAGCCCACAAGGCACTTGCAGGATGTCACGCTTGCTTTTCGGCTTCCATGTGTTCACCTGGTTTCTCTGACGGAGGAAGCAAAGTTGCGAGGGCAAGAATCAGAAAGAGATGTTATGCCTGGTTCATCTACAGGAGTCAACCGCACCCGCCACTTGGGCTCCTAAAGCGCGGAGGCGTGATCAATGGTGCTGCGGCCTAGGAATTCGACAAATTGGCTCCCTGAAAGTGGACGGCTACTTCGATATCGCCGAATTGCAGCTTGTGGCGGTGATATCCAGAACTCACTCCCCGAGTTCATGGACCTTTAACTTTTTGGGAAGATCATTTCAGTGGCAAATAACAAGTTTGAACTCTTTCCAGCCAAACTCAAGAAGTGAGATAGATAGAGACTGGCTTTTTGGGTTTCCCTTGGGGCGGGGATGTCAGGTGAACTGGGGAATCGGCATGATCGCCATGCCCTTCTATCTCCACTCTGCTGGTTTGGGCGCTGGCTTGCTCTTTTTCACGCTCCTTGGATCCGGCGCTTTGTTTTCTTCAAGAGACTCCTAACTCTACCGCTATCGGGTTGGATCTTTAGACATTAACCCTGGTTGGTTAATTTCGACCCATACCCGTATTGACCATGATTCAGGCACATCTGATGTTTGTAGATCAAGGGAAAGCCGCGGAAATACCTAGCCAGTTCAAGCCCCGACGCTAGCTATTTTTGTTGGGAGGGGGGACATCCTCGATGCCTGAAGCTGAACAAAGGATTATTGGGTTATTTGTATGGCAAATCCCACTTTGGCTTCTCAGGTGGGGATATGAACTGGAACGTTAAGCCCGGCATGGGTGCAATGTAAGCAACCTCATTTGGTGTCCTTCATGGTGCAAACCCATGTTGATCCGTGCTATTGAGCCGTCGCCCCAGTTGCGCAGTGGCTTGGTCGAGTCGGGACCCACTCAATGTATCTTCACTGTTGTTGGCATGTCTTTAGATTGTTTGGGTTTTTGGCTCTGTTCATTTTTTAGGGGGCCTGCAACAAATGCATTGTTTTTTGCAAGCCCGTGCCGTTGGGTTGGAAAGTTAGTGAACACACCAAAAGTGGCTACCAGGGGTCACTGGGTCCAATTGGATCCCTGAAGACTACCCCCCAAACTGAGGGAAAATGGGGGGGGGGCAGCAAAAAGCTGGGGTCCCAGCATAGCAACTACCCTGGCGGGTGGGGGTGGGAAAGAGGTATACTACCACTAGATAAGAACTGGCAGCCTGACCAAACCACTCAGGAAAAAATGAACAAATAGAAGGGAGGTATACTACCACTACATAAAACCACTCAGGCAAAATTTGGAATATATATATATATATACACCGCCACATAAGAACTCAGCCTAACCCACGGTCAGGTTGAGCATGCTCCTGGCCGCCGACGCCGCAGTGCTCACCCACCGCCTCCAAGCCACGCAGTCGTCCTCGTCGAAGGCGAGCTACGTGGCGCTGATCCAAGGGGCGCTGGGCCCAACGGCAGCTTGGGCGCAGGGAAAGCGTTGTGTTTGTTGTTTCTGCGGGAGAAACTTTCCCGCTTTGTTTCTGGGGGAGAAACGTTTGTGTCTGTTGTTTCTGTTGTTTCTGTTTTGTCCCCCCCCCCCCCCCAAACTTTCCCGTTTTTGAGGGAGAAAGAAATCCGAGGGGGGAAATGGATTTGTTTTTTCCCAGTTTGGTCGGGGGTGTGGCCTGGGGTAACGGAACCCAATCGCTTTCTTCCCTTTTGGGGCGGAAAAATCCGAAGCTACTCCCAAACCGAAGCCAGCTTCAGGGTGTTTAATGGGGAAAAGCCGCGACGATAACCATCATATCAAGGGTATATATCCCAATTTGGTCTGTCTCGTTTGGAGGGGTGTCCTTTTTTGGCGGCTTCAAAGGGAATCTGGGTTGGACACCCGTTTGTGGTAGGGGAAGGGGCTTAAGAGTAGGTGAATACAGCGAATTGCGGAATCCTTTGAGTCTTTGAGGTTTCGCGGAGCAAGGTGACATTTTCGACACTGGGGTCTCCAGAGCTAGGGTTGTATAGAGGTGCAGTACTGTTGCCAGCTGTTTTTTGTAGTTTTGAGCTTTTTGGAGAAAACGTATTGTTTGGTGAACCCCAGTTTGGGGAGTCCAACGAGATGACTGAGAATGATTCGGAATCCTTGGCCCAGCTGCGCGGATCTCGGCGGCGTTTTTGTTTTATTTATTTATTTATTTTCTTGTTTTTTTCTCAACCTTTTCGTTTGCGTTTGTAACGTCCCCCCCAAAAAAGGGTTCCGACCGAAGGGGCTTTTGGGCAGCTGCGCGATACGCTTGGAGTCGCTAGGTTTCGATCCGGGGTTTGTTAGGATGTCCAGTCCCTTGGTGCCCCATATATTTTCCGGGACTGGTCAATGACAGATTCCGCAAAACTAACCTTTTTCTTCAGGGGGCGAAGCAAATGGAAGTTACTTGAAGGACAAATGTGCTGTTCCATTGGTTGGGGGGTTTGCTTTGCATCTAGGGGTTTGTTGTTTTTGGTTCCACCCCGAAGTGCGCAAAATTGGAAACCCCAAACGCAGAGTTGGATCCATATGGATTGGGAGTTTCCTGGTGCGTCTCTCCAATGTCTCGGGATGGCCGGCTGTTGGGGGCCAGTTTTACTGATGCCTGGATTGCTGCAGTGCAGCATTTTTTGCAAACGATGAAGCTTAGTGCGCGTGAAACCCACGAGAAACCCTGAGCTCTGCGCACAAGGCACTAGATCCAGCTAACTCCTTGCCAAAAAACCATGCAAAAACGCAACCGCGGTTACAGGTAACAAGTCGTTGGCGCTTGCCAGCGAGCGTGCATGGGGCTCTCAGCCAAATAGCACCTGAGCAAGAATAGCAGCAAATGAACTCTTGTTTGAGATCAAGGGCCGGGATGCCGGCGTATTGAGACACGCCTGCCTGCGCAAGTTGTGACATCTGTGTTTCCGCAAATCAAGTGGATGGGCTGGGCGTGCCCAAGAGAGCACCGCATCAGCATGTTTTCACCGTGCGCGGCAAGCGCTATGGGCTTGGAGCGATGTGAGACCAGCCTAAAGTAGGATTTGCCATCAGGCAGTCGCCCTCGAAGCAAACAACAAGGAACCTGTGTTAAATAGGTTTGGTTCAACCGTGCGAAAAAGGTTTCCCAAAAGTAGGCTAAGGGGCTTTAGGTGATCCCTTTGCCTGCTAGCGTCAACATCCCCCATCTCACAAGATGAGCAGGGTAGGATTCATCAGAAGGCTTCATTCTCCTCCCAACGTTTTGTTTTCGCTTAATATTGAGGTGAATTCAACATGCAAAGCATCATGTTTTTGTTGGAAAAAGGCCTGGTTCTGCAGGGTCATCTTCCGCTTCCTCTTCTTCCCCTTGTTCTTGGTAATCCATATCTTGGGCAGCTTCATCAGTGTTGTTCTTGAGTTCTGAGTCTTCTTGTTCAGTCATGGCGGCCTTCCTCTGGGCCACCTCCGACATGCTTACCTGCGCTGGCATCGCTGGCATTTTTGCTCAGGGCCTGCTGAAGGCAGGTGACAGAAACTGATTGCAAGCCAGCTACCATAAGCGTTTGAGCAGCGTCACATCTCCGGAAGTGCGAACCAACTCATCACGAACAGCAACCTAGGCCGCCAAACGACAGAGGCACAAAACGTCACACTCATGCAAAAAAAGGTCCGTCATCACACTTGGCTCAAAAAAAGAGCAGCAACGACACCATCGCCACCAACAACAACAACCGCAACCTCGGCAACATCGCCACCACTACCGCCACCGCAACTGCAAGCACCACCACCAACAACAACACGACAACGACCACAACCGCAACAGCCACCACAACCGCAACCGACACTGCGACCGCAACCCCAACCGCAACCAGCAACACCAGCAACACCAGCAACACCAGCAACAGCAACAACAGCAACAACAGCAACAACAGCAACAACAACGACAACGACAACGACAACAACGACAACGACGACGACAACGACGACAACAACAAGAAGAACAATAAGAACATCAACAGCAACAGCGCAACAGCAACAGCAACAGCAACAGCAACATCAGCAACAGCAACAGCAACAGCAACAGCGACAGCGACAGCAACCGCAACAGCAACAGCAGCAGCAGCAGCAGCAGCAACAAGAACAAGAACAAGAACAAGAACAAGAACAAGAACAAGAACAAGAACAAGAACAAGAACAAGAACAAGAACAAGAACAAGAACAAGAACAAGAACAACAACAACAACAACAACAGCAGCAACAACAACAACAACAACAACAACAACAACAACAACAACAACAACAACAACAACAACTGAGAACAAGTTGCTGCAATCTCCTCAATCTCCTCCATGGGGACGCCATCCAATGGCTTCAACTTGGAGGCTGTGGGTTCAATCAACCAGGGAACAAGTCAGACACATGTGGCTTTGTCTTTTTGCAACCCAGGGGCCCGAAGCCTCTCCTTACCTCCAAACTTGAACCCCCATACGCCATTGGATGCGTACTTGTACTTATAGACCTTAAACTCCTTCTGATCGGCGCTGGCAGGTCGCTTCATGTTGGCGGCCTCGGCCTTGGTGGGCTTCTTCGTGGATGCCGGAAAAGGGGCCGCATCCTCAGACTCGTCATCGCCATCTTCATGATGGCTTGCAGCATCTGAACACGCAGCTGGCCGCTTGAGAGCCCCTTTCGGTTTCGACTCTCCTTTAGACTTTGCTTTTGTCTTTGACTTTGCCTTCGCCTTTGACTTGGGGCCTTTTTTGGGCTCCTTCGGCGTTGGTGGCTCTTTCTTTGCCTTGGGCTCCTTGGGCTCCTTCAATGCAGGTGGCTCTTTTTTTGCCTTGGCCTTAGGCTCTTTTTTGGGCTTCCCCTCTTTAGGCTTTGGGGTGGGCTCATCATCGGACAGCTTGTCCACAGGGGGCAGCGACATGGCTTGTACTAGGGACAGGTATCCGGCCATGCCTCACACTGGCAGCCAAAGCTGCCAAGCTACTGTAGATGGACACAATCCTTCACCACGAAATGTATGAAACATGAGACCCTCTCAAATTTGGGATAACATGGCTAATAGAAAGAAAGTGGTGTAGGATTTTGCCCAATGCACCCGTGTGTACCTGAAGCTCAATCAAGCTTGCTGCACAAAGCCTCCACTCTGAATATTTGTCACGCTGGGCGAATGAGAGTGGGCTATCCCACGCGTCTAACAGCGTGAGCCGTTGACATGAACCTGAGAGTGATCCCCTGTGAGCAGCCCGGCTGCCCACCTGGCTTTAAGTGGCTCTGTTTTAACAGCACTTCATTGTTCAACATTCCTGTGCACCTGGTTGGGCTTGCCACGCTCACACTGCACTACCACAAAACTTCAAGTAGCTTGTCGCTACCCTAGCTTGATCGCACTTGAGGGCTTCAGCTCAACTGCGCACAACAAGTAAAACTTTGGCTTCAAGGGCGACACGATTGCCGGCACTTCTTCTCCGATTTTCACCTCAGGGAACAAAAAAATTAAATGCTTGCTTTCCATCAAAGCCAAACTGCTTTCGATAAGACCAGGCCTCCCAAACAACACCACAGCGCGGGCTACTTGGAACTTGGGTGTACTTGCCATGGAAAATGGCGCCCATCTGAGAAGCGCGAGCCGTAGACTTGCCCTCCAATTCTTTGGGCTTGTAGGCGTTGATGCGGGGCTTTGGTTTGACCACGTAGCGGTAACTGACAGGCTCCTTCGCACCAGTGGGGGTCTCCTGCCAGGAAAGCGCCCTAAATAGAGAGAGGAGACCTGGTAGTTTGGCAAGGGGGTCAAAAAAGGGCAACTTCCTTTGTTCCACCCAAGGCCTTTGTCAAAGGCTCCATGTCGTGGTCGAGCAAGCGTGCCTGCGTCACACCACGTTCCCTTGTGATGTAGCACATGACGTCCGCCATGGTCATGACCTCTTTGTTGGCAACATCCCCCTGCCCAGTGACCAGTGACACAAAGTGCTTGTCACTCCGGACCACCCAGGCCAAGTACTCCGGCGAGCTCTGCGCGGATCCTTGCCAGGACCGAGGCAAGTTCTTGGGGGGGGAGGGGGGGGAGGGGTTATTGAAACCAAACATATTTGTTCAACTGCTCCTGCGGGAATCTCAGCAAACGTGCCAGTGTTGAAGCCGAACAGCTCTCCGTGCCCCAGTGACACTGGAGTCTGAGAGCGATTTAGCAACCAAACGTTGCCCGTGGAAGTCACTGCAGCCTCCACTTCCGGGGCCCGGCTCACATGTGCGGCAGCATCCACCCTGACGGGAAAGGAGGTTGAAGCTAAACATTGATTTACACAAGCAGAAATACAGTGTGTGAAGGCTGTCAAGGAACGTGTGGGTACTGTCAAACTCATCGATTGCCACCACTGTGAACTCCACGCGCTTTTTTATGTTGGCTGGCGGTTCAGAGCACCAGTCTGGAGTTGCTGCTGTTCGGGGAGTTTGGCCAGCGCTGTTGCGCGCCCCCTTCGT